ATCTATCTATCTATCTATCTATCTATCTATCTATCTATCTATCTATCATCTATCTGTCTCTTATCTAGCTATCATCTTTCTATCATCTATCATTTATCTATGTATGTATCCGTCATCTAGCTATCCAGCTACCCATCTACCGGTATCTATCTATCATCTCTCCTATCTTAACTATCATATTTCTATAATCTATCTATAATTACCCTATTTAATCTATTTATCTATCTATCTACCTACCTACTTACCTGCCTACAGTATATCTGCCACATTTCCTTTCACTAAATTTGGGATGAGTCTCATGTAATCTGATCTTCCCCAGTTCTCTTGAAGTTGGATAAATGTCAATGCCAGGATTCTGAGGAAGAAAATCTTGTAAGGATAAACTTGATTGCATACTCTGGTCTCCTGCAGATGTTCTCTTTCCATTTCATTCCTCCTCCTTCAAACCTCCCATCCTTCCAGCCACCATGACACACCTGACTGGAACCCACAGGAATTCTTAATGTTTACTTATACCTTCAACTTCTAACTTCTGACATGCAATTCTCAAAGCCTGGTGGAGACCTTGAAATATCCTACTGGGAAGGAACTCAAGATTCCTATACAGATTAACAGAGTTGGAGGGGACCTTATAGGTCATCTAGTCCAACCCCTCCCCCACCCAAGGGGACCGTACACCATTTTTGACAGATGGCAGTCCAGTCTCTTCTCGAAAGCCTCCAGTGATGGAGCTCCCATAAGTTCTGAAGGCAACTTCTGTTCCATTGGTTGATGGTTCTCACTGTCAGAAAATTTCTTCTTATTTCTAGGTTGAATCTCTCATTGATCAGTTTCCGTCCATTGTTCCTTGTCTGGCCTTCAGGTGCTTTAGAAAATAGCTGGACCCCTTCCTCCTCCCTGGGGCAGCCCCTCAAATATTGGAAGACTGCTCTCCTGTCTCCCCTGGTCCTTCTCTTCACTAGACTAGCCAAACCCAGTTCCTGCAACCATTCATTAGTCCCCTAATCATCCTGGTTGCTCTTTTCTGTCCTCTTTCTAGAGTCTCAACAACTTTTTTATAGTGTGGTGACCAAAACTGGATGCAGTATTCTAGGTGCGGTCTTACTAAGGTTTTATAGAGTGGTATTAGTATTTCCTTTGATCTTGATTATATTCCTCTGTTAATACAACTTAGGATTGGTTTTTTTGGCTGCCGCCACACACTGCTGACTCCTATTTAGCTGGTTGACCACCAAGACTCCAAGATCCCTCTCCCAGTTCCTGCTATTGAGCCTGGTTTCACCCAATCTATATGTGTACTTTTGGTTTTTCTTGCCTAAGTGTGAGACTTTACTTTTCTCTACTTCAAATTTCATTTGGCATATTCAACCTGAGGATGAACTCACCAAATGGGCTGGCCTTGCAGAAGACAATAACCACCCAAAGATATCATTGATCACTTTTGTAAGGTGAGGAATAGGTCCCTTCCACCTTTGTTATTCTGAATATAGTCAGCTTTTGTTAATAAGTTCATGTGGTCTTTTTAAACCTGAGACACCTATTGTCATTTGAGTTTCCACTTTCTTCTCACTCGAAAATCTGTAGATGGATTTTTTCCCCATGTTCTATTATTATTATTATTGTCCATTGTAATCAATACTTGAGTAAATGGACGTGTACGGAGAAAACCACAAATTCTGAAATAGTTCAGTTGATGAGTTTTACAGCCTTGTATGAAAAGTATTGATTTTTCTGGATGCATCGAGCACTGAACAATATTTTGGATTCACCGAGAAGAAGAGAAAACAGAAACACACTGAATTCTTGCACCAATCATCTTTTGGGCATTAATTCCCCACTCAAAACCCCCAAAGTATTCTTACACAATTCCCTTAAAGTTTGTGAAAGGAGACAAACTCTATGAGAAAACTTGGTATAAAAGAGAATTTCTTAGCACATTTCTTTTCTAGCCCTTTTTTTTTTACATCAGAACTTACAGCATTTTTTAAAGGAATGAACTCATTTTCCGCTATTCCTTTTGCCAACGTGCTGACATTATTTCTTTATAAGCAGAAGATGAATGCAAAGAGAAAGGGAATAATTCAGAAGAATTAACAAAGATTGCATTACAGGAGAAACACAAAAGCCAAGTTCCCAGCTCAGGAAATAAATTGGTGCTGAATAACGCTCCCATTATTATAATCCGAACGACACGCATGTATTGTGTGAATTCTACCTACGATTTCTCCAACTGACATTGGTTTAGTCACATCCAGCAAAGATGTAGACCAGAAGGTGACAACTTGCTGGTTGAAGGCTGCAGAAGTTTTCCCTAGTACTTTGTGGACTACCGATTATGTCTAATTTTTTTTTTCTTTTAAATAACCCTCGCAACTTAATGCTGTGTCTGCTCTTTTGGTTCATTGTCCATCCACATAATCTGCTTATTCCTCACTGTAGGAAAAAATGTGGAATCCCATCCACTGGTCTGAGCACCTTGGAATGTAATCAACCAGAACCTCGGAAGATCCATGACCCAAAGGGGTGTGGCACAAAAATAACAAAGTCACAAAATTAGATAAATTCCCTTTAATGCCTCCAACTTGGCCCCAAATGTCCAGTTATCCTCGGCTGGAGATCAAACTCTTCCAAAAACAGTCCACAAAGGGAAGAAATGCAGTCCGAAACCAAAGTACGGATAAATGAGAAATTTAAAAAAACCAACACAAACCACGCTGAAGTAATTAACCCAACAGGGCAGGATAATAAATTGCAGACTTTCCAAAAGGTAACGAAGCACACACAGTTGGGAAGATGCCAACATCCAGATAATCCTCGACAAAGATAATGCCCGCTTTGCTTCCAGCAAGGTGCTGTGTGCAAACGCCCTTCTTATATCCTGTTCTCCCAGCTGCAACTAATGAAAGTGATCAGGACTCTTTTCTCTCCCGTAAGCCACATTGCTCCTTTCTCTGTTCCTCCTAGGATGAAGAAGGGGTGGTCTTGGGTCTTCCTCTGAATGCCCAGCCGGACTGTGCCCTTCCTCCTTTTCTTCCACAGCCACCAGATCCACTCTCCCTGTCAGCTCCTCAATTTCCCCCTCAGAATCAGACTCCAACAAGGGCATGACATCCACACACGCTCTCAGCTTTGCAAGCACCCTGGGGAAAAAAATTTGCGTCGGGCAAGTCTTCATCAAGGCTCCCCTTTTCTATGAATCCGAAACGAAAATGCAGCGAGAGAACAGGACTTTCAATCACAACAGAGACCAGGGAATTTTAATGAGCTTTAAATGGGCATCTGTCAGAATCCCGACTTGGCGGAACTGACCTGCCAGCCAAGGATTGAGTAACGACCCATAAAAAGCGGGGTGGGTGGGGAGAGAGAGCCCCTTTGTGAATTCCTCACTCTAACAGGAAAGGCAAAGTTGTAATTTGCAGTGTTGTGACATTATAATTATGCCCCCGTGAAAAGCGAAAGCATTAAAAAAAAAAACAGACTCGTCTAGATAGGCCAACGTTCTTGTTCCTTCTTCTCCCCACTGGAGGCGTGTATGTGTGTGTGTGAGGGAGGGATGGAGGGAGAGAGAGAAAGAGGGAGAGAGAGAGAGAGAGAGAGAGAGAGAGAGAAATGGCATTCATGCCATCAAAGCCCCATCTCTTAATTACCCACATCAAAATACATAATAACAGAGCTGGAAAGGAAACAGAGCTGGAAGGTTCCGGCACAAGCAGGAAACCTTATATCATTCCAGACCAATGGTTGTCCAGTCTCTTCTTGGAAACCTCCAGTGATGGACCACCCACAACTTCAGGTGGCAAGTTGTTCCACTAGTTCATTGTCCTCACTCTTAAACTTTCTCCTTAGTTTTCGGTTGCTTCTCTCCTTGATTAGTTTCCATCCGTTGCTTCTTGTCCTGCCTTCAGGGGCTTTTGGAGAAGAGGTTGAACACCTTCTTCTCTTTGACAGCGCCTCAAATATTGGAAGACTGCTGCCACCCGCTAGTCCTTCTTATCATCAAATTGGGTAGACATACCCACAATTCCAGCATCCGTTCGTATGTTTTAGCCTCCAGCCCCCTTATCATCTTTATTGCTCTTCTCTTGCACTCTTTCTAGAGTCTCAACATCTTTTTTTAATATCATGGTGACCCCAGTTGGATGCAGTATTCCAAGTGTGGCCCTACCAAGGCCGTACGTAGCGTTACTGATTGTTCATTGTCCATCTTCACATTTATAACTCTGTATCTCTGTGTCTTCCCTCTCAAATTTCAAGAACCAGGAAGTAGAAATTCCTGAAACTTTATTATACTATTCCCACGTGACATCTTTCTAAGAAAGCATCGGAGAGCAGATGGTGTTTTTTGTTTCTGGTATCCTTGAAAAAGAGGATTCATCCCATTATTAAAGAATTCTGCTCTTCCTCTTCTTCCTTCTTTTTCCTTCTTCCTTTACTTTCCCCTTTTTCTCCTCCTCCTCCTCCTCCTTTTTCTTCTCCTCCTTCCGCCTTCCTTTTCTTTTTCCTTTTCCTTCTTTTCTTTTTCCTCCTTCTTCTTCTCCTCCCGCTCTTCCTTTTTCCTTCTTCCTTCTTCCTTTTCTTTTTCCTTCTTTTC